TCGTTTCTTTTTCTAGTTTTCAGAGACAGACATGTATTTTATTTGTTCAGACCCTGTTGTAGAATTTCTTAGATAGTCCGTGAGATTGTGACACCAGTTCTGGGCGGTTTATGTTTATGGATTCATATTGGTATTTAGCTTTAATCGTTAAATTTTTCTTCCACATTATTAATTCCGCTGTTTATAATTTGGTTAACTTGAAATTATTTAGGGATTAAAAATGAAAAGGGTAATTTATCGGAATTGGTTGCTTCCCTAGCTTTCACTTGTAGGCGCCATCACGACTCCCGAGCGTGGGAAATCCAGGTTGTGACACTCCGCCTTATAGATCACTGCTCGGCCTTGGCCTTATTGATCAATTCGATTCGCATGTTACTCATGACAATTGTCTCCGCATGTCGAATTTCTCTGATTTGATTTTGACCCATATAGTTAGTCCCTCTGCTTATCGAGGTGGTCTTTTAGTCGAGCTCAGTGGGCGGACTTCATTAATCTTAGTTCGAGAAATTCGAATGAGGAGGTCAACTAGTGAGGATCGCGGCTGAGGGTGCCGATCTTCAGGTCAAAGTGGTATCCCCGCGGGTCGAACTTGAGCATAGTTTGATCTGGGCCCATGACTTGAGTGATGAGTTAGTCGAGAAGACGGTAGAGTTGGAGAAGGCCGACGAGGCCAGGATGGTGGCATCGGAGGAGGTCATCCGAGTCCTCAGATCTAAACGGGCGATTCGGCCCTTGTAAGATGCCTCTTCTGATACTTTTTTTGGAATGCTACTTTTGCTGCTTATTCCAGATTTTATTTTTCTTTTTCTTGAACGTTTTCNTACTGACAGCTTCTGAACATTTTATTGCTCAGGAATCAGCTGAATTTTCAATGAGCAATACACGAAATAGTTCAGGTATCCCTTTTTTCTGCTTGATAACATCAGTTCAGTATGCATACTTGATAGAAGCAATGACGAAACTACGATGAACATTATGAACCTGAAAGAGCAGACTTCAACTTCCCCAACTACAGAAATGACAGTTATCCAACTAAAACCATATGCAGAAAACATAGCATATGCAGAACATTTCCAAGAGAGATTGTGGTTGCTTGCATGTTAATTGTACTCTTCAGGAAAACATCACATACAAGCAGACAGTAATTAACACTTCCATGGAAGTGTACAGCAAAAGATACAATTTATTCCGGCCGAAAGCACTTGCCCTCAGGGGGGAATTCATGTTACATATGGGAGATCTATAGCAGCTCAAGTCAATCAGCACTTAAACCAAAACCCACTAAGCATAAATTATAATCCCCCAAAACAGATTTGATAGTCTGATAGTCCGAATAGTAAACCAATACAAAGAGGGGAAAGCAAAGTTTTTGATATTACCTGAAAGAACTTAGCCCTATGCTTTGCCATAAAAATGGAGGGTTCCAATAGAGCATAAAGCTTTTCATAGAAGTTGGGGTATTCAAGACCATGTTGTGTCATGAGAACAAACAAGCTGCTAAGAGCCATCACACTGACTACCCCACCAATATCATACGACCGTGTTAAAAAATCACTGCATATGAAAAGGTACTGCAGTCACTCAACAAGGATTATCAAGTCTGAAAGAATAGAATTAGTACAAGAACAAGAAAAAGGTACAACGTATTACCACAACATGAGAGGATTAGACAGATACGGAATAACAACTTGATGAAGGTTCACCAGAACCTGAGATCAGAAAGCAAAAGAGAATGTTATAGAAGCGATATCGTCATAACTATCGTGTTTCAGGAGTAAAAAAACAGAATTTAATCACAAAAGCTTGCTTTGGAGTAATCAAGAATTCGTTACCTTATAAACAAAAGAATAGGTAGATGGTACCAGCAAAGGAGTTACAGATGGAAAAATGAAAATTTTACTACCACTTCAACCAAATCTTTTAGAGGATCTAAAGCAGAATTCAACAACAACAACAACAACAAACCCAGTATGTTCCCACCAGGTGGGGTCTGTGGAGAGTAGTATGTATGTAGACCTTACCCCTACCTAACAGGTAGAGAGGCTGTTTCCAATAATTAAATGTGAAATAGATTTACTCCACCGTCCCATAATTTTTTCCCCATCAAAGGCTGGTTGAGGTTGTTCAAAGCCATATTTACATATCACAACTTTGCACAGTTTCATGATAAAAATACATTCATGAAATATGCAACTATCATATAGAGGGACTATTAGCCATAGGACGAATATCTATATCTTCACTTAAACATGCTCTGCACTGTAAAACTTTAAAAGTCAAATCAAAATCAAGTGTAATATGACAGCATCACTTACCACAACTTGAATCAAGAGATACTGGATAAGAAGAGAAAGAGCAGAGATCATAAGCAGTACAAAAGACAACAAGCACAAGACCTTGTTCCAACAGATAAAATGGATATCCAGTCAATGGAACTGTTTATTTACCTCTTTGTAAACATCAATTGGAAGTGGTAATCTAAGGAATGATATCCAGGCTTTAGTAAATTTCAGTTTCATCTTTTTTGCAATATTGGCTGGAGATACCTGAAGATTACAAAGTACTTAAAACATTAGCTAGCTTGAAAACACAAAGAATCAGCAGATGTCCTTGCAGAACAATCCAACAATGTGAGGTACACAGAGGAAAATGTCCTTTTTTCTTCTTCATTTTTTTTACATATCACAAGGTGTTTCACTAGATACCTTGATATTAGAGGATTCATCCTTGCATTGCTTTCCGCTATGTCCTTTGTCATTCTCTTTCCCAGCAAATATACCTAAATCCACATAAATATAAGATCACAGCAAAGAGAAGCAATAAGACACAAACATTTAGTATAGGACATATTACAAGCATTGCAAAGAAAATGATACGAACAGCTTGCTTTAGGTCTGAAATGGTAAAAACTAAAAACTGCTAAAACTGAAATTGGACAATCCTGCTTAAGGGATATTTCAAAAATCAAAATCAAATAGAGTGATATATGCATCTTATACGTATCGCAGCTATGTATTCGGGTATTATTAAAAATATAACATGATGCCATTTGTGCAGGTTCTCTGCCTTTCAGAATACAGCTTGTATATGGGATTTCCCCATCATTAGTATATTTGTTTACCTTATCCCAAAGAAAACAATGTGAGGCATTTAATCTAGAAAGATTTGATCTTTCATCAAACTACAAGCTTTGGATTTTAGTAGCTAGGTTAATAAAAGAGAGGAATCTAATTAGGAGGCTCATCAAACTTCCTAGTTCCCAAAGTTCTGCTTCCAACTACCGATGAGAAAGCTTGGACGTATAGCAATTATCCTAGACAACAACGACGACAACCCTATAAAATTCCACTAGTGGGGTCCGGGAAGGGTAGTGTGCACGCAGACCTTACCCCACCCCGAGGGAGTAGAGAGGTTGTTTCCGATAAACCCTCGGCTCAAGAAGAAGAAAAGAGGCAATATATTAGTACCATCAACAGAAACCATAAAAAAGTAACAGCATCACAAGAACCAGAAAATAGATGAAAAGCAAAACAATAACCAGTAAATAAGACCCGACACTATGAAAAACGGAAGAATAGTATGAACACAACATTTACCACTAGCAGTCTAAGACAAAATCCTATGAGACTAGCCTCGCTCTGGTACGAAGTAGAAATATGCTCAACTACCTCCTAACCTACAACCTTAATGCTCGATCTCCACAACTTCCTATCAAGGGTGATGTCCTCAGTAATCTGAAGTCACACCATGTCCTGCCTGATCACCTCCCCCCAATACTTCTTAGGCGCCCTCTACCTCCTAACATACCTACCAAAGCCAGCCGAGCGCACCTCCTAGACAACAAACAAAATTAAACCCAAAAAAAATTGAAATACCACAAAGACCAAGCTGAAATGGTTGTTTGTTCTTTTCCTTCAACTACTTCTCGTAACAAAATTCTTTTGGACAATCAAGACTCATTTTATCCTTTTCAATATATTGGGAGCTCAAATACCAATATTTGACGAGGATTGCTACTACCTTTTTCGATGAAACCCTACTGAGACTGCTATTTCCCATAAAGCCAATAGAACAGATGCATTATGTAGGAACGTGATAAAAGAAACACCTTTTATAAAACAAGGGGCTAAAAGCGCGTACACTCAAAATGCAATCAAACAAAAATACCTCAAACTCAAACAAGTTGGGGTCTACCATGTAAATCCGCTATTGTCCATTTTGGCTTATTAGACCCACATTCTATTCAGAGGATTCATCATAATTAGATTGTTTTACCCTGACCGTCAACCCATCACAACCCCCACCCTTTATACGGTCTTCAGACCGACTTACTTCGGAAACTATATAAAGCAAAAACAAAAATAGCAAATACCCGAATTCAATTCAGATGTAGGATACCTATCCAGAAGTTTTCGCAACTCAATCATAGATGGCGGAATCATCAAAGATTTGACCTTTTCGAATCTTTTCAATCCATAATAACAGTTGACATACATTGGTAAAAACTTACAAAAAATTATTTGTTCGCAAGAAGTGATTGAACAACAATAATTAGAAAAAACAACATTTGCAAAGATGAGTTGTGAAATTTGCTAGGACAAACATTCTTCCATATATCAGAAGCAGATGTCAAATACAGATGAAGCTCTAAGTCAGGATTCAACAATTGGTTAAGTTACTAACCTGCACCATTCCACATATCATATTCTGATTTTCCATCTGAACCTTCCAGGGGAGGGATACGAGAGAGTAGATGATATAACTTGTGAGTTGAGAGGGCCAAGCTTTAAATTAAATCAAGAAAAGCAAAGTTAAAAAAGGAGAATGTTGAGTACAACATTTGGACACTAACAAACTAGAACTTTCTGGGTATTGACTAAAAGGAAGAATTGCTTCTATAAGTTGAAAGGAGATGTGGCACACCGAACCAAAAAAAACCATCATATAGACTTCGAGAAAAATTGACTAGCAAAGTATTTAATATGCAGTAGAGTTTAGAAACATTTCAGGATAAGGATTAAAAAGAAAAGACTTCTACAGTAAACTAAATAGTTAGAAAAATATCCTGAATCTAAAAAGGTGATAAAACAGAGTACAAAGCCAAAAATAAATAAAAAAAAATAAAAAATAAAAAGAGAACAGCTTGCCAAAGCAACCATTTCCAAATCTCTAAGTTCTGCAAATACTGTGTCATGAAGATAAACTTGGCAAATACTAGTATACGTTTCTCTACCATCCTAGCTATCTGTATATTCAGTTTAGGGGTGCCACTTTAAAATTTAAGAAAAATGAAAAGTAATTCTAAACTTATCCTTTTAAGCAAGTAAAAGGATTCAACGAACTAAACAGTTTCTAGGATAAATAAATCAACCTGAAGCATCAAAAGCAGGTGACATAATCGTAGTGCAACAACATTAGTTGCCTTCACTTTCTGTAGCTCAATTATCTACCATAGTTAATGAAATGCTGTTGAAACAATCAGCATCCAATATAAAAAGTAAAAATAGTTAAACACAAAATTCAAAAAACATACTGTTTCATCTAGTTTCAGCAGCTGAAATTCACTTTCCAGCCCTGAAACTAGTTGTAATTCACCTGTTGAAGATCACTTTGAATCATCACACTCTAGTTCTAAGTTCAGCTTGGTTTCTGGTTGATTGAGGCTCATTTTTGGAAACCTACTGCATCCTGTCCTTATTTT